TCATTAGAAGAGTGCATAATTGGTTATATTTGTTTGTTGTATGTTAATATACAATTACGTGTCTCTCTAACTCAATCATATTTCTTAACTTATTCATCAGACGAATATCACATTCCCTGCTCATCATCCATTTGCATAATTGGTTATATTTGTTTGTTGTATATTTTTGAGATAAGGATTATACTTTTAAGAGTTTTTCTATTAAGACTAATCCACTTATCACCAATTGATTTTAAGTTGAAAGCACGTATCAAGGTCAGAATGAATATGGTATCAGAGTCCATTAAACCTAACTATTAAAAAGGTTTAGAATCAATCCACGCACTCTTATAATTCATCCCAAAAGTGGTTTTTTCTCTCGGACCCGATAATGTTGATCTGCGAGATTACTGTCTATAAGAACCATTCTCTCGAGTGAAGGTATTAGAATTATGTAGAAGTTAATTGGCTATAGGTCTTAATCTCTAAAGAGTGTGTAAGGATATAAGCTCCCACATTGGAGGTTTCGGTGGGACATAAATAATATATAAAAGATTTGAGCTACTTTACTTATTACTAATCGATTTTAATTTGGAAACCCATGAAACTTAACACTATTTGTTCTGCCTTGCTTCAAATTTAAATGATATGAATTTAATTTTCCAGTTTTACATTGTTGTTCTTATTCCATTTTGACTGTCTCTTTCCACATCATTTAGTCGGATTTGTTGAATATTGGTTTTATATTTTTCATGAGATCAGTCTGATCAGGAAATATATTGTGATAACTGTAAAATTTATATTGCACCATGGATAATTTACATATGAAAGAAAGAAGAAATCTAAACAAATTAGGTTGTCTGTCATATGGGATGGATGCTGGGAGAATTTTCTCCACGACGACAATTTTGACAGCGTCGAAATATTAATACAACAACAACGATAAAGAAAATAAAAAGCATCATCATTGGAACCATCCATGGCTTGAACCATGGAGGATCTTTCGGGAAGATCAATGCTGCTTCTTCTTCTTCTTCTTTAACTTGGTACCGTGTCAAAGATTTGATGTGCCTTATCTCGTTGCTCATTAACAACCAGCATATTTTTCTTCCCATCTCGCGAGTTTCCTTCTCCGAGATGAGAAAAAATGAGAACACATCAACAGTTGCTCAAAGAATATCTTTATGATATCTCGTGTTTTGTTTAAATGTTTATTTTTAGTGTTTCCTATATTTTCTATACAAGGCTGTACACCTGCTATTTCTGGGTTCTCTTGAAACTTGAGCATGATATAGCGTCTAATAATAGAAAATGGATGGTTCACGTGAATGGGGGGAAGGGGGGGGGAGGGAGGGAGAAAACTCAAAAATAAACATGTGTGGGTGTGGCCCAAAACAGACCAAAAAGGGAACTCCACATTATGGACCTTTAACGTTGTTTTCATTTGGGATCCCTCATAGTCAATAGACATGGACGAGTCTAGCACTTGATAATGTTGACACGTATTACATACGAAATGGAATATTTATTTCAAGTATCCCACGACTACGAATCTCATCACAACTATGACTAACCGCTCTTGGCATGCACACATGCTCCAATGACCTGTTCTATGTGTTGTTATGATCCACCTCCCAACACCGATAAAAAGGCAGACAAGAGATAGAGAAGGAGCCCCTAAGTGTTCCAGACTGAACCCAGGGCCGGCTCTAACCTAAAGCTGAGGAAACAGGTTCTTTAGAAGACAAATTAAATTAAGAATTTATGGGCATATATATATCAAATTTTCAGAAAGTTGTATATAGTCCAGTGGTTCTGGTCTGTAATGTTCTGTCAAGGGTGCACGGTTAAAGTAAAATTAGGGGGTGTCAAAATTTTATTTTGCTTTAGGCAGTACAAGGTCGGGTCTGACCGAGCCTATACTAACTTATTATTGTACTCTCTCATTCTCCTATATATGTTCCTGGTTCTTCACCATTGTATCCGCTCATAAGATCAGTAATATACAAATATTTACACAAGATCATAAGTAGACATTCTCTTCATAAATTACTTATTCAATATGTTAGTACAAAACGTAACCCTAATTTCTGAGTGAATTCTGAAATCTATCATTTGGTGCTAGAAATAGGAAGAATTAAACACAAAAACCCTCTGAAAATTCTGACGTGAAACACACATCCCAATGGTCATAGTAGACATACCCACTCTGAGAAGAAACAACAACAAGACAAGCTGAGTCAGGCCTCATTGTACTAGTGCGCGAGGCATCAGCACCGATCTGGACATTACACTGCAGCAGGTACCAGTTAAATTACAATATATTGTCCTTGCTCTGTTTTTCGTGCAAGTCGGTAGGATGCCAACAAAAAAAACCAGGGCCGGCTTATATGGGGGACAAACGGTGCGACCGCCCCGGGTCCAAACCCATGTCCCCCGATTTTACTAATTAATTAAGAGGTCCAATATTTTTTATATATACATATTTTTATATAGAAAATTTAAAATATTTACAAATTTTAGTTGAATAGGGGCCCTAAAATATTTTACATATACATAATTTATTTTCATAACAAATTTTTTAAAGATGTTGATGTTAATTTTTTTTTAAAAATATTTAATTTTTAATCAATATAAATATTAAAAGTCAAAAAAAAAAATTCGCCCACGGAGCCCAAATAAATGTTGAGCCGGCTCTGAAAAAGACCACCGAGGAGTAATCCCGAACGAAGCAATGGTTAGTCCTGAAAGTGAGTTCAGTATCCTAGAGCACACCCTAACTTGGGCACAATCTAAAATGGCTTCGGATACCCACATGTGGAGTATGTTACAAAAAGGGAGGAAGCGTTACATTCATTTTTCAAGAGATTCAAGATGTCAATCTCTGATACCAATACAAGAGAAAAGTCAGAATACCAGCTTTGAGGATCACCTTATGGTGCAATTCCAACTTCTATAAGAACCTTGTTCTAAATCAACCCAAGATCCTCAATGATGCCTTTCATCGAGCTTTAAGGTACATCAAAATGGACTAGGAAAAAGTTATCCCCGGGATAAAATCTATCCTGATATCGGACTTCAGAAAGAGAGACATAACAAACACAATATTTCTGAATTACAAAGCAAAAACGATACTCGACGATGAGCTCCGTAGCTCGAAAAAGGATTAACGTGATAATGGGTTTTAATACATTACATGAAAATTTGGATTGGTTGCAGACGAATTTGACTCACAAGAGTTACAACCGCCATCAACAAAGCAAGGTTATGATTAAACAAATATGGTATGAAGTTTATATCCCACAAAGTCTACTTTCGCTGTCACCTCGGGCAAATTCCTCAATTATTTAGTAACACAACCAGGTATAGAGGAAAATCTAAAGCAAATATCAGCAATACTGAACATGGGCTCCCCTGAGACCAAAAAGGAGATACAATGCTTGATAGATCGGGTGCCCGCGCTCAACAGGTTTATTCCGCGGTCAACTGATTAAATATTTTACGTTCTACCAGCTAATCCAAAAAAGAAAGACTTCGACTGGGATGACGCATGCATCGAGAAGATGGTGAAACACTCTACCTTTACATGCATTTTCGTATCAAACGATGCTGTTAGTGGCGTGCTAATACAAACAAGTGAAAGGGGGACCAAAAACTAATCTACTACATTAGAAAATCACTCGATTGGAAGAAACAGGATATACATTAATGGAGAATCTAGCCCTAGATGTCTTGAAGGCAACACGGAAATTAAGATCATATTTCCAATCACACTCAGTCGTCATATTGTCAAGTCATCCATTGCGGTCGATCCTCCATAAGCATAGTCAATTCGGACAAGTTGAAAATGGACGGTTGAACTGAGCGAATATGACATTGAGTACCAGTCCCGAACTAGCATAAAATCGCAAGTACTAGAGGACTTCCTCGTAGAAATTTTGTGCTTCCGAGATCAGTCTCTAAAGGAGATGACAACGATGCCACATTAGAAGTGACACCCTTAAGATGGAAGCATAACATCGATGGATTGGCCTCGGAATCAAAATACAATTAAGCAGCGGATTCTAAACACCAAATAAGAAACATGTTAGGTTTGACAACTCTGCAGGAGTCTAAAACAGTGACGCTTGAAGATGAGCTGAAGGAAGCAGCTGCTCTTGAATCAGCTGTTTCACTGAGAATAGTAGCTCCATGAGCAAGGTTCATGCTCCAGCTCATCGTCTTGCTTGGTTTTATCATCATGCTTATAAAGGAATTAAGGAAATGACTCAGATCATTCTAAGCGAGTATGTGCAGCAAGTGCCACGGTTTCTGGACTCATATTAGTTTCTAAAGCATGTGGAAATGATGTTCCAAGGTATATACATAACATATCAATTTGGTTTATGTAATCTGACATTGCAGAGTATGACGCCTTATATGCAATCTGGTTCATAAGAACCAGTGACTCTATGCTATGGCTATAGAGCTATCGAACAATGCTTTGAAAGCTGCTTGTGAAAGACTATGCCCACTAAGAGGTTCTAGACAAGAAATTAGTTGTCTACCTGTGCTTACTAATTTGGTGTGAGGTTAGCTTTTAGTTCGACTTTTTCAGTTTATTCTCTGCTAAACAGGATTTGACCATTTTAAATTTTTTTCTGCTGTCACAGATTTTATGAAACAGTTAATCAGCAGGCGAAATGCCGACAGATTCCATCTCTGATCTATCAGAGACATCAATTTTCTTCCAATTCAAGCAGCAAAAGCAAGTTTTGGTGCCAGTGCACAGCTTAAAACACACAGAAACTTACATGAAGAATCTTCACAGCCACCGCACACACAAAAAACATTAAGTTGTGGTATAAATTTATATTTTCCTTTGCCAGTTGGAATTTGGTCTAGCTGGCTTGAGGGTCAATTCGAGCAAAAAGAGGGACAAATCTGATTTCAATAATAAGGAGAAGCCAGAATGTGAAAATTTCAGATTGTTCCATCTACTTAACTAGTTGGGCGATTTAAAGATACTTCCATTCAAAATGATGGCAGACAAATCCACAAGAAGACATGTAATTAATTAGTATACTTAATAGTTAGAACTCATTCTTCTTTGGATCAAAACACTTTTGGCTTATTGTTCCTGTCTGAAGGTTTGTCCAACACTTGATCCACCAATTATAAAGAAAGTTCTTAAAAACTTTGTCCCAGATGAGTTTAAGCAGCACAAATTCCCTCGGAGGCTATTTGATGTTGTGAATTCTGAGGTTAGCAAAAAAGAGAGAAACCCTTTTCAGTGTGTGTGTGTTCTTGGCCATATTGTCTGAAACTCAGGGTTTAACAGAGGAAGACAATGGATGCATCATAGTTTCCCTTGCCTTGCACATCATCATCCACAGACTACTTAATGCCATCTACATAATCCATAAAATGCTTGACGATTGGGTCATCAGTAAATAAGAAACATTACACAAATGATGATGAGCTTGATGACTTAGATACATCCATTAACTCTAAAAATCTCTACTACTGGAACAACTAGTTCATAAAGGATATGGATTCAGAGAGACTATCAGCTCCTTAAAGAAATATAGAAAGAAGATGGATCACAATGACACTTCTATATTTTGCTGCCTATATATGTTTTTGATGAAACTAACTCTTTAAGACATGTGTTTTGTTAACTTCACCACTCAGACCACACTTGTTATACTTAGGTAAAGCTTGTCAGAACAAAAGAAGATCAAAAACATAACATTTACTAACTTAACAGAACAAGAATCATAAAACAGAGAATCCTCTCGATCCAGAGATTCTCACTACAAATCTTTAAAAAAACCGATAAATGACTTTTGAGCAAACAAGAAGTAGTTTCATTCCCCAACTTTCGCTTTCCCTTTACTGAAGAAAGCGTCGATGCGACGTGTCCCAACAGGCGGCGGCTTCTTCTCCGACGCCGTTTTAGTGACGCGGACAGGCTGAGGGGAAGGGAGAGGGAGTGAGTCGAGGAGGAAATCTCTCGTGGGTTGGTGTCTCTTCACGGCGATTCTCAGGTGATCGAGGTTAACCGTTTTTCGCTTCTTCTCCGCCGCAACTACAGAAGATTTCTCGGCGAGGAAGCGGAGGAAGAGCTCGGTGGAGTAAGTGATGAGGTGAAGAGCATCAGAGTTGATTTTGTTGATGTCCTTGTCGAGTTTCATGATCTTCTTCACTCTTGTGATTGGAAACTCCGGTCGTATCGTCTCTTCTTCTTCCGCCATGGAATCAACTTATTATTTTTTTTTTTTGAGATTTTGACTAAAAAGATTTTTTAGGGTTTTGTAGAAATTTGGGGATTTTTTTCGTTTACGCGCTCTGTCTCATACTAATACCGCGGAAAAATTATAACAAAAAACAAGACAAGCTTTTTTTTTTTTTTGTAAACATACAATATAATATACTCCTTCGTTTCAATTTAATTGTTGTTATAGGATAATATTTTTGTTTCAAAATAAATATTATTTTATGACTTCAACTCAAAATTTATTAATTTATTTATTTTTCTATTGATTAAAATGTGTTTAGGTGTGTAGTTAATTATGTTTTTTAAGAAAATATGTAAAATTAAATATTTTTTTTAATCTGTGTACAAAAATTTGAAAAGACACTTAAATTGAAATGGAGAGAGTATGAAAAACAAATGATAGTTTTCTAAAAAAAATCTCCCTCTTGTAAGAACTTTAAATTTGTTGCTTCTATCTTCAATGCAAGTAATCCTCCATTCACAAGTACAAGTGACATGTAACAGAACGCAAGTAGTTTGTGTTTTTCTGTTAGTTATGTACGCTTTGGAAAGGTATTTTGATTTTTGTATGAATTGTGTGCATTCTGTAAGTAAATGAAAGTTAAGCTGTTTCGCTTTCCTGACACAGCATCCAATCATCTTAACTAACTAATTCTGTTTGAATCAATGTCCTTTCAAGACTTTTAAAATCTAATTCAGTTGCAGGTTGATTATTTTAGTTTGTGTAAGAATGAGTATGCAAAATGAAATTTGTTGCTTCTATCTTTCTGCACACCCTTTGTCCAATAGACTGAGAGTTCAAGGAACAAAATATTTGTAGAAACAATATCTTGATTCTATTTTCATTTACATAAATGTACACACCCATTACCCATAGTTGAGATCCGGTGATGACAATTCGAGATTTAGTAGTGTTTTGATTTGGTTTTTCTTTTATGTAATTTTTTTTTGACCTCGAAACTTTTTATGTAATTTGGGATTGACATTTTTGATTTGGTATTTCATTTTATTTAATTTTTGGATTCAGCACACTAAAACATTGGTTATCAACTTATGAGTTATAAGACAAATGTAAAATATCTTCTGAAATTATTTTTACTTTGTATGATATGTTTTGGGTATGATACAAATAACTAAAATTATTATTTTAATAAAAAATAAGCAAAGTAATGATTGATGAATTATGTCAAGTTAAATCGACAACTTTAACTATGTCAGTCTATGCCTAAAGTGTTTTGGAGTGACCTGAATTGTTTTGTTGCGGGTATTATCATATGTCTCACGGGACGGCCTGGAAAGACCTACAAAAAATGCGATATGGGATTAGGCAGTTGTTTCCAAAACCGCATTCGGAGCAGGACAGGCCTGCCACGTCTTGCTAAAAGACGAACCAGCAGTGGTCTGGAATGGTCTGAGAGAGCCCAATTACCATCTCTAAATACAAGACAAGGTAAATAGCGGCATACATACGAAATATGAAAAACAAATGATAATTCTCTAAAAAAACTCTGTTGTAAGAAATTTGTTGCTTCTATCTTTCTGCACACCCATTGTCCAATAGACTCAATATAAATCAAGGAAAATATATTTGTAGAAACAATATCTTGATTCTATTTTCATTTACATAAATGTACACACCCATTACCCATAGTCGATTCGGTTGTACGAATACTTAGATTCATCCGTATTCATTGAAAGTGGTGTTTATGGTTAAAATTTGTAACAATGTGTTATGAAGGCAATCAGTGCCGAGTCTGCCGACCCTGATTTATAATGGGCTAAGGCATCAATTTTTGTAGACGATTATATTGTCTATTAGTTTATTAAAAATCTGAAAATATTGATACTATATTTTTGAAAGCTTTGAAAAAGTATTTTGATTTTTGTATGAATTGTGTGCATTCTATAAGTAAATGAAGACAAATGAAGTAAGTAAATGAAAGTTAAGATGTTTTGCTTTCCTGACACAGCATCCAATCATCTTAACTAACTATAATGATTCTATTTGAATCAATGTCCTTCAAGACTTTTAAAATCTAATTTAGTTGTAGCTTGATTATTTTAGTTTGTGTAAGAATGAATATGCAAAATGATAGTTCATGAGCATATCGCAACAATCATCATATGCAAAGAAACTAACTTTAGACTAAATCCATCGTCTTACTTCTGAGGATTTTGAATCAACTCAACAAAAAAAAATTAGATAAGCTATATAACTATGTTTATTGCATATAAACAGATAAGAATCCGGATTCAAGTAATTCCTATTTTCTCTTTCTGTGAAACAAAAGTACATATAATCATCAACTTACAATACAGACAGGCAGAGAAGAAGAAAATATACAAATTTGTCGAATCAGAAAGGACGATTCGGTGGCTGAACCGTGATCCGAACCGGTAAAGGTGTACCGGTTCCAGTACCACCGCAATTGCTACAAGTCGCACGACCCGAACCAGAACACCTACGACACCCAACATCTCCATCAGACCATCGAGTGCAGAAGCACGTGACTCTCCCTGTACCGTTGCAGGTAGGACAGCGAGGGAACGGACCACCGGCCATAGGCTTTTGGTCAAGAACTGATTTGACTAAAACCGCACCGGCTAAGACGCTGAGACCTGTGGCTAGCTGGGTGATGACGATAGGACCCATTTTTGTGTTGAAGAGAAAAGGTTGCGAATTTTGGGGATAACAGAGAAGTAGAATCGTGAAGAAATTGTAGAAGAGAGACGTCCAAGAGAAGATTTTTTTTTTTGGTTTTCAGACAAAAGTGTGGTCTTATTTGATTTGATTATGTTTCGGTTTATTCTGTATTTTTTCAAGTAAGAAAATGAAAATATAATTTTTGAGGTGAGGAATGGTTGAGAGATTGCAAACGTGGGCTAGCGAGGGCTTAGTTCTCATGTGCGGAGATGAATTAGCCAGCTGTGGGTTTTGAGACTTCAAGTTTTTGGATTTAGATGTCCATTGGGCCGTGGAAATTAAATATCTTCAATAACCTTCAGATTCAGATTTTCTTAAACAGAGATGGATATCTCGGCCTCCACAAAGTGGGTCTAGACTAACCACGTGTTAGCAGCCTACGTTTTCAGATATGTCCTTGACAATATCGAAATTTCATTTCTCCAGTAGTCGAAACTCGAACCATGGTGGCTTCACCGTATTGGGCTTTGCCCTCAAGTTAATCACCACCAGACAATAAACTTTGGATTCTGTTTCGCTTTGTTTAATTTGGTTTTAATACTTTCATGACCGTCGTCAAGGTATCGTTTGAAGCCACCTTTTAGTAACCTGGATCAATCTTGTTAATAGTAATAAATCTCTTTGCCCTTAAGTTAATCACCACCAGGGACGGACCTAAAAAATTATTTAACATGGGGCACAATATAAATAATTTTACAAAATTTTATATTATAATATAATTGTAAATTAGTAAACTAAATATTTTAAAGTTTTTTATAGTATATTAATTCTTATTTTACTGTGTTACAATTAAAATTTACATTACTTTAAATTTTTATTTTATTTTTAAAAACTTGAATCAACCAAAAAGTTCAATAGTTTTTAATAATGTTAAATATTGTTGAGTAATCTTACATAATTATATAACATAATAAATTTTTCATTTTAGTTACAAATAATTGTTAAGTAAAAATAAATAAATAAACTTTTATTTTATAAAGGTAAAAGCTAGCTAACATTAACAAAAGGGGAAAAAATAATTATGTTGGATAGGAGAAAAGAAAATTTGTTTTACGAGGTGACTACAATATAATAAAGTGTTAAAAAAAATTGAAAACAAAAAACAGTTCATGGCTTCGAAGAAGAGTTTTTTTTTTTTTTCGAAGAAGAGTTTGCATGGGGCACTAATAACATTTTAAGTCAAATGAGCTGCATCTCATATCTGTATATTCTTTTGTTGAATAAGTTTTATAATTTGGCCTGTGGCACGTGCCACACCCTATCAAAGCCTCGGTCCGCCCCTGATCACCACTAGACAATAGACTTTTGATCGTCAAAGTATCGTTTGAAGCCGCCTTTTAGTAACATGGATCCATCTTGTTAACAGTAATAAATCTCTTTGTTCTAAGGAAGACCCATATCTTTGTATGGGATCAATGAATCATTTCAAATGTGTCATAAGGCAAATGTAAGGGAAAGGTATTCTCTATGAGGAGATGAGCCGATCCTGCTAATGGATCAAGATGATTCCCATACAATCCGAGAATATTGTTTGTCCTTGATTGGAAAAATTCTCAACCTGAAAAAGCAAAATGTTGAGAAGCTAATCAGATTCATGCCGATTCAGTGGGAGATGCAAGACAAAATTACAGCAAATGACCTTTGATAATGAGAAGTTTTTGTTTAACTTCACATCTGAAGAGGATCTCCAAGCAGTCTTACGCCAATGACCATTCCACTACAACTTTTGTATGTTTGTCTTGGTGCTTTGGGAACCAGTTGTTCATGACAACTACACACTGATAGTTCATTTTTGGGTGGAGATCACAGCCATTCCTTTACACTTGTGGACAGTTAGGAATTTGAGAAATATTAGAGGAAAGCTTAGACACATCGATACTGTGGAGCTGTTTGCTGGCCGGCTTTTAATTGATGTGGATTCTCAAAAACCTTTAGTGTTTAACAAAAATTTCCAGAAGGTGAAGTATAATCATCAAGATCAATTAGGAGATGCTGTTTAAATCTATGTTACATGGAAACGAAAGCAGGTGTGCGGAAGTAGAATCGTATGAAAGCCCATAATCGAGATTTTAGAAAAAATTAGGAAGTAGATACGTGTTGGAAGCGTATATCCAAATACATACATACATACATATATATATATATATATAAAAGAAAATTTTATGAAATTTATAACTAAGAATTTATGATTCTAATCTAAAATAAAGCATTATTCATTTATTATAATTTTAAATGATTGCATATTATAATTGTGAAAATACATATAAATTAGGTTTATAAACAAATATTACCAATTAGTTATTTTTTACATTTTATAAATAATTGGCACACCATATTTGAATATATATATATACATATATATATATATATATATATTTAACAAAAACAGTGCATACATATGATTTATAGTATAGATATTAATATTTATATATATATATATATATATGTTTGGTCAAAAAAAGATATATATATATATATATGTATATTCTCACTATATATACTATTATATACTAACAAAACATAAAAATGATTTTATATTTTATTTATATATGATATTGTGTTTTTGAAATTGGAAGCATGATTTCAAAATAGAAACGTAAGCTTCCAACATGTTTTTATATATGATATTTTAGAAGCGTTTTGGAGTTGAGATTCCGCAAGCTTCCACAAGATTCCGATTACGATTTCGGTTCTGAAGCGGGAATCACACGTCAATTGGAACTGTCGAGGAATTGGGAACGACCTCACAGTTCGATGCCTTACGAAGATGTGTTAGAAGCATCACCCATGACTTGTGTTCATTTCTGAGACGAAGAGATGAGGCTGTTACTGCAGAACACTCATGCCGACTTAGGATTTGATCGTTTGTTTACCGTTGAGCCACTTGGTCTCAGTGAAGATTTAGGATTTAGCTTTATTTTCTATGAATGAATTTCAAATAAATGTTTTATTTTAGAATAATAGAATGATTGACATTTAGGTAGTCATTGATGGAATAAAAATCTATGGTGTTTGTTTATCGGGACCCTGTATTAGAACGTCTTACGCGTTTATCAACTGCACGAACTAGACCTTGGTTTATGATTAGAGATTTTAATGAAATCACTGGTCATAATGAAAAGGAAGGAGGCAGACGACGCTCTGGTAGCTTGTTTTTGCCTTTCAAACATAAGTTAAGTGATTGTGGCATGCTGAAGTTTCTATTTACTGGATATATGTTATCATGGGTAGGAAAACGAGCATGAAGAACAACTGTCAGATGCCGACTAGACAGAGGTGTTGGTAATAAGAATTGGCATGAGAAATTCCCTCACTCAGCTGTAAAATACTTGCGGTTATGGAGATCAGATCATCGTCCGGTCCTAATAAACATTCTCACAAAACCAACCAAGAAATAAAAAAAAATTAAATTTGATAAATGTTTGTTGGATAATGAGGAATTAAGAAAAGTTATTCTCGAGGGAGGGAAGTCTTCATATCTCCCTTCTGATGCGAATATTATGGAGCATATCTCAAGCCACTGCAGAGCCTTGAGCCACTAGAGGAGTTATCACAGTTAGAACTCAGAAAGGAGGATCTTAAAGAAAAGGTGGAGGGATATTCAAATGATGATGTTACGACTGAGAAAATAACAAAAGTTTTAAAAGAATTATATTAGATCCTAAGTTTTAAAATGAATTATATTCAAATGATGATGTTTTGGAAACAAAAAGTCAAATTTTTGGTTAATAAGGTGACAGAAATATAAATATTTTCACGATTTAACAAAGCAAAGAAGAGCAAGGAACATGATCGCACACTCCTAGATGCAACTAGAAATGTTGTTGAGAATGAGGAAGGACTATAGCCATTGCTACTAGTTATTTCAGACAAATTTTTGAGTTGTCTAATCCAGAAGATACAGATCCAAAAGATATAGAAAAAGCGTTCTCTGAGGTATCAACAACAATCACATAGACGAGAAATGACGATCTTACAGCCCCAGTAACTAAGTGGGAGGTGAAACTGGCTCTTTTCGCTATGCTAAAAAAAAAGCTCCAGATCCAGATGGGATGATAACTCTTTTCTATCAGAATTTCTAAGATATCGTAAAAGAAGGTTTAACCCATATGTTTAATTAATTCCTTTTCGAGGGACAATGGTGACTGGTCTAAATGACACCAATATCTGTCTAATCCCAAAGACAACCAAACCAACAGAAATGTCTCAGTTCTGCCCAATTAGCTTGTGAAGTGAGATAATCTCTAAGATCTTGTGCCAGAGATTAAATAAGGGTCCCACTTAATCGTATTTCAGAAATCTAGTCAGTCTTTGTCGTTGGAAAACAAATAACATATAATATCATGATTGCACATGAAATGTTTGATGCACTTTAAATGAAACCAAGCGGACAAGCTAAAAGAATGACCATTAAAACATATATGAGTAAAGCGTATGATGGGATGAAATGGTCCATTCTTTGAAGAAGTGGTGAGGAAATGGGATTCTTGGGTACGTGGATTGACTGGATTATTCGTTGCATTACTTCGGTTTACTGTTGAATGGCCAACCAAAGGAAAATATTTTCCCGTAAAGAGGTCTACGCTAAGAAGATCCTTTGTCTTCTTTCTTAATCTAGCAAAATAGGCCAGTAACTGTACATCGAATTCTACATGTTGAATGGATTGAATTCATATGTTGAAAGTCCAAGCCTGAGGTTCCTTTCTTCAGCTGCAAATGTAGGATATTTAGCATTCATCTGATCCCAGGTCACTAAATTAATAGGGTGACAAAGCTTTCCATCACTGCTATTGTTGCTGAAGTGCCACCTTATATCCTTGGCCATTTTCTTAAATCGTAACATTCTCTTTAATCTTGGTATTATGGGAAAGTAACGTAATACTTTCTGTGGGAATCCTTTCTTCTTCTCACCGGCGTGCATATTAGTCTTCCATCTTGAAGCCTTGTATTTGGACACTTCTCAAGCTTCTTGAATTTCTTTTTGAATAGGATGCAGTCATTGATACATGCATAAATCTTCTCGTACCCCATGTCAAACGATTTCAAAAGTTTATTCACATCATACAGTGATGTATGCATCA